ATTTTGCTAAACAGCAATTTCAGTGGAACGGATTATCATCGTCTAGCAAGGCACCATTGTATTTTGTTTTTACAAACTGTGAAGTCCCTAGTGCAAATTGCTTTCTTCTGCCACACATTCATTAATTAGCCTTTGTCAAATTACATGGCACGATGGGGATAGCATCTTGCTTCAGCAGATGCGGTATGCTTTGAAACACCCTGATGCAGGCATCTGTGACTTTCCAGATTTCGGACGGCACTTCTCCATCAGTCATCGCCACCGGTTGTGCAAGCCATGTCTCCGTGTGCATTGCGGTTGAACAATGTCTGGTGGGCTATGTGTCCCCAATCTCTGCCCTAACATTATTGTTTATAAACAGCATTTTTATAATAATCTGTTGGAAAGAACAGTCAAGTCACCTCTGACGCATGTCAACTCCCTTTGAACGTCACACCTTGCTGTAAGTCAGAGGCAACTTTGAAGGTGCACAACAACCTAGCAACAAAAGGAGAGAACCAAGAGAATACCATTCACTGAATAGAAATCCCTGGTTTTGGAACCAGGGATTGGGAATGTGAAAATATATTGCACCACCTGGGAGACCGGCCTGGTCAAGTCACTCAGAAGATGTGTTACTGATGGAGGTTTGTAGCCTGCGATTGATGTGGCCTTGGGCGAGCTGCTCTGTCACAGCTCATTTACCGCCAGGAAGAGGGGCTGGTTTTAATGCTTAAACTCAGGATTGCCATAAATCAGGATTAACTTGATGGGCCATAATCATTGTTGTTATGATTTGGGAGGTAACAAATTTAAGGTGAAGAAATGTTCACAGTGGAAAGCCTTACCAGGGAATACAAATGCCAGGATTTAAACGTGTCTTTTCCATTAAATTGACTTTCTTTTCCCTTTGGGGAACAATGTGATTGGTTATGGGAAGGTCTTGGGATGGTAAATTCAGCCACTCACACTTTTGTTGAAACCCCATAGTCTGTTGTCAGTTCTTCCCAGGCCAGTTATCTGTGGTCTCCTGAGAGCTTGAAATGTGACCCTCTGGTTGACCATTCAAGGTTAAATCAGTGTCCTCTTAAATCATCCTGCTTACATTTCAGAGCTGGGAGAGCAGTTATGGAGGCAAGGTTTATTTTAGCCTTGCACCTGGCTATTAATGCATCTTCTTTTTTAGACAGTAGAAGCAAAGGGAGCACAGATGCTTAAAGTGTACGTAGCATCTTAGAGGATGTTCCAGAGACAGGATACCAGTGATTGACTTGAAGCTTTTTAGAATTGCAAAAGATTGCAGTAACTTTGTTGAGCAGAAGTAGATGTCAGTTATATGTTTCTGGGGAAGAATGGATTTTATTGCTCTCTTCCTAGAGAAAACTGGTTTTCATCTGCTTTGGAACTGAAATGTTTATAGTTTTACCACAAAATTCTAATGCAAATAGGTTTTTTATTTCTCTTGGTGATGATGAAAACCTTTGAAAACATACCAGTAATCTTCTATGCAGATTTTGTTGACATTCCATTTATAGAAACCCCTTTAATTGCTTTCCCCCATTATTATTATTTGTGAAATTCAGTATTTTTAAACCTTGCACTAAAGGCCCCATGGTGTTGGATGCATTTGTTTGATTTTCTTTCCCATCTGTTGCAGAATTTCTGGGCATCCTTCAAATGTGGTTTCACAGGGACCACGTTCCAGTAGTTTACTTTATAAGATTATCAACCCTGGTCTTGTCATGAGACAGGCATTTTGACACGTATTTAACAACTGCTGATATCTGCCATGCCCTACCCTATTGAGATAACCTGACATTAGAAGCAGATCTCTGTTACTGTTTGAAGTCAGATGCAGTATTTCCGGTATTTAAGCCATTCCCTCCTCCTCCATAAACTACAGTTTAGCTCCTAATGATGAAGTGAGTAATCCTTGAATACCAGGAACTCAAGTTTGTACAGCTGGGTATGATGTTATGTGCCCTCAGACTTACACTGACTTTACAAATTAATGACCCGTAGGAAGTCTAATCATTAATAGCTCTGCTGAGGTTTTGCAAAATAAATTTATTTATTTCAAATAATTTTACTCTGCCTTTCTCTAGTAAATAGCACTACCGTGTTTCCCCGAAAATAAGACAGGGTCTTATATTAATCTTTGCTCCCAAAAACACATTAGGGCTTATTTTCAGGGGATTTTTTTTCATGTACAAAAATCTACATTTATTCACATACAGTCATGTCATCTTCTGGTTACTGCACAAGGGTGGAGGGCGGGGTTTGACTTAACTGGGGCTTATTTTTGGGGTAGGGTTTATATTACGAGCACCCTGTAAAATCATACTAGGGCTTATTTTCAGGTTAGGTCTTATTTTCGGGGAAGCAGGGTAGATGAAGCCCATTGAATCAATGAAGATTTAGTGTCAGCTCCTCTGTTGTTGTTGTTTAGTCGTTAAGTTGTGTCCAACTCTTCGTGACCCCATGGACCAGAGCACGCCAGGCCCTCCTGTCTTCCAGTTGGGTCAAATTCATGTTGGTAGCTTCGGTGACCCTGTCCAATCATCTCGTCCTCTGTCGTCCCCTTCTCCTCTTGCCGTCACAGTTTCCCAACATCAGGGGCTTTTCCAGGGAGCCTTCTCTTCTCATGAGATGGCCAAAGTATTGGAGTCTCAGCTTCAGGATCTGTCCTTCCAGTGAGCCCTCAGGGTTGATTTCCTTCAAAATGGAGAGGGTTGTTCTCCTTGCTTGCAGTCCAAGGGACTCTCAAGAGTCTCCTCCAGCATCGCAATTCAAAAGCATCAATTCTTTGGCAGTCAGCCTTCTTTATGGTCCAGCTCTCACTTCCATACATCACTACAGGGAAAACCATAGCTTTGACTATGTGGACTTTTGTTGGCAAGGTGATGTCTCTGCTTTTTAAGATGCCGTCTAGATTTGTCATTGCTCCTCTGTAAATTCTGTTAATTCAGCGGGCTTACTGTAACTGTGACTTACTATAGTAAAGCCCCACTTGAATCAAGAGAAGGTAAAGAGGAGTTGACTCATCAAATCTCCATTGATTCAGTAGGCCTACTCTTGTGCAATTTATGACACTAATCAACAAGCGACAGTGTGATTCTTCTTTCTTTTCAAACAGTGGGCCACGCTTCGGATTGAGAAGGGAATCAGAAGGCAGCAGAGAGAGGCAGTGAAACCCTCAGCTTCAAATGGTAAAGCTTTCCAAACTTAAAAGTGTGTGTGTAGTGCATTTCCTGTGCAACAAGCTAGTTAAACAAACGTTGGCTTTAAAGGGTACAGGGTTGTATTCAGTGAAAGTGGGTGAAAGGAGGTCCCCTCGAGCTGAAAAGTAAGCTCAGTAAATGGAAGCCTCGATGTGGTCGTTTTGAGACCCTTGTAGCCCCTCTTTGGTCCTGCAAATCTGGAAAAGACAGTAGCCCTTCTTGCTGTCATTGTCAGTTTGTTATTTGGGACGCTTATGTAGATTTTACTAGAAAAAACCCTCTTATGCGTCTATACCTAGTCACCTGGAGGTGATTTTTTTTCTTGCCAGAGGTGAGCAGGAAAATAGTACAAACCAATTAGATAATTGCTGTAAGAGGATTATGGAAATTTCATGAACTAGCAGAAATAGCATGAACATTGATTATTGGTTGTATGCCGAACATGTCCTCATTAACAAATCAGTGACGTAGATCTTTCCTCTAAGTTTCAGGTATCTTTAGTTGGTATGTTAATTCACTTTATGTTCAGTTTACTTATCAAGTCATCAACGAGCTAAGACCTAGTTAGGCTTATTCAGCCTTAACGCCAACTATTGTTTTGTGAGTATAGTATCAGTTCTCTGCCTCTCAGAGGTGGTTTGAGGCAAATCACAATTTGCTATTTTGTTAGAATGATAAAAAAATAATAATCTGTGCCTGCCTGAATACCAAGGGGGCGACTAACCTGACAGATAATGTGAGAAATGCTCTGGAATTCGGATGATTAGATTTGCATGGTTTTCTGTTGACTCTATGACATACGAGTCAGTGTGAATCAGTTTGGAGTCAATCCCCAGCCCCCATCCGTAGGCTTTCCTTCCACCGCTGGGGCTTCTATTTTTTTTGAAATTGAATTCAGTCACATTGGTTCAGGCGATTGCTTGAGCCAATACGGAGTGGTTGTAATCATTGGATTTGAAGCCACCCAGATACAGCAGCAATACGACAGGCAGGACATAGGGGAAAATGGGTGCTGTTAGAATCTTCTCCCCAAACCTGGTGCCTGGGTCTGCTTGTTTTTCCCATTTCCTTCCTTTCCTGTCCCAGGGTCTGCTTGTTTTTCCCATTTCCTTCCTGTCCCGTCCAGTCCTGTTTCTTTCTTTTCCTTCTTCCTTTTAAAGGTTAGCTGTTCTAGTGCTAGGGCAGCTACTTGACCAAAGAGGGGCTCTTTGGGAGGAAAGGGTAGATAAAAATCTGATACTGGAGTGAATAAAAGACAAGAGTAACGACTAGAGATGGGAGCATATTCATATTCGTGTTCCCTAGGGATACGAATACGAAGTGTGGCCCCACAGGTGCCATGGAAATCCATTCCCTCTCCCCAGAACCAGCCTGGTCCTCTCGCTGGGCTCCGCACAGCGTGCACATCCATCAGTGGCAACATCACGCCAATTGCAGAAGTAGCCTGACCAGCTTTGCCTCACCTTCCCGCACAGTCCCGACTGGTGAACAGCTGAATGGGGAGACTCATCATCCCGTCTCCTCGCCGGAGTGGTCAGCTGTGCAGAGAGACGGGGCAGAGCCAGTCAGGCTACCTCTGTGATTGGTGCAATGTTGCCACCGGTGGACATGCGTGCTGTTCAGAGCTGGGTGAGTGAACCAGGCTGGTTCTTCAGGGAGGGAATGGACCTCCATAGTGGTCCATCTCTGGTTGTCCATCTCTGGTGCTGCGCTTCGTATCCCCAGGGATACAAATGTGAAGCTCCTGCCATGGAAGTCCATTCCCTCTCCCCAGAACCAGCCTGGTCCTCTCACTGGGCTCCGCACAGCATGCACATCCATCAGTGGCAACATCACGCCAATTGCAGAAGTAGCCTGACCAGCTTTGCCTCACCTTCCCACACAGTCCCGACTGGTGAACAGCTGAATGGGGAGACTCATCATCCCGTCTCCTCGCCGGAGTGGTCAGCTGTGCAGAGAGACGGGGCAGAGCCAGTCAGGCTACCTCTGTGATTGGTGCAATGTTGCCACCGGTGGACATGCGTGCTGTTCAGAGCTGGGTGAGTGAACCAGGCTGGTTCTTCAGGGAGGGAATGGACCTCCATAGTGGTCCATCTGTGGTGGTCCATCTGTGGTGCCACGCTTCATATCCCCAGGGATACAAAGGCGAAGCTCCCATCTCTAGCAACATCCTTTGCTTCTGTTTTGTTTTCCTTTACAACTTTAGTTTCTGTGCCCTTATCTTTCCACTTCTTTGGCATTTCTGTCCGCATCACTCATGAGTTAAAAACAGTTGCTTAACATTGCTTCCTTTTACCCAGATTTTGAAACTGACGTTTCACCTCACTGTGGCTGTTACACAGCATGTTTTGACCGTCCCATGTGACTCAGCTGTAGGCCGTGGTTGACTTAGAGAAAATAATTACCTAGTTCTCACTCCTTGTTAAGTCATAGAGCATTCCAAGGTATTTTCTGTGCTGTCATCTCCACCCATGTCGCTTTAAAAAGGCAGTTGTGTTCCTTTCTCACTGGGCTGGGTTGTCTTTTCAGTTTCCTGTTCTACTTTCTGCTTTGAATGGGACTGTGAATGAATTCATCCATGCCACGACAATGTCTCTTTCTAAAGCTTATCAACACATGAAACACTGGCCTGTACTTGCATAATTTATCACTGTCAGGCCAGCCCCTGAGAAACAGGATCTGTAGAGAGGCCCTCTTTTGCACCAGCTGTTGACTCGGAGGGATTGTATTATTCCCAAGGACTCTAGGAGTGGCCTCTTCCATACATTATTTTGGGTCTTGCATTACATCGAGAAACTTCAGACCTTAGACCTTTGGAAGGTTTTCACTTCTCCAGTAAGGCTTCAGTAATTTATACAGCTCTACAGCTGTTCAAGCTCAATCGTGCTTCCTGGTGCCGCCATACTACCCTGATATCTTGGAGAGCAACTGCGAGTTAATCAACAATACAGTGGTGCCTCGCTTAGCGATGTTAATTCGTACCGAAAAAATTGCTGCTAAGCGATAACATTGCAAAGCGAAATAAAAGAGCCCATAGAAATGCATTAAAACGTGATTAATGCGCCCTCTTTTGCACCAGCTGTTGACTCGGAAGGATTGTATTATTCCCGGGGTCTCTAGGAGTGGCCTCTTCCATACGTTATTTTGGATCTTGTGTTACATTGAGAAGCTTCAGACCTTAGACCTTTGAAAGGTTTTCACTTCTCCAATAAGGCTTCGGTAATTTATACAGCTCTACAGCAGTTCAAGCTCAATCATTCTTGGTGCCGACATACTACCCAGAGATCTGGGAGAGCAACTGCCAGTTAATCAACAATATTTGGATGGACCAATGGTCTGACCCAGTACAAGACTTCCCTGTGATCATCGCAAAGCGAAAATACCCCATAGGGAACATCACAAAGCGATTTCAGCGCTAAACGGAGTGATCGCTATGCAAGGCACTACTGTATTTGGATGTACCAATGATCTGACCCAGTACAAGCCAGTTTGCCTAGAAACTGGAGTTCTGCGATTCTGTGCAGTGTGTCCTAGGTACACCCAAGAAAGTGCTCCAACAGTTTCTGGCATAGCAGGTGGCCTCAGGGCAGTCTGCTAACCTCGGCATGCCTTTCTTAATCTATTTTACTGAAAAAATTACATTTTAATCTAGCCTTTTCTCCAGTCATTTCACCACTTCATTTCTGCAACAACTCCATGAGTTTGGTCAGGGTGACAGAAAGTGACAGACCGAAAATCACTCAGTGAGTTTCTTTCGCCAGTGGGACCTAGGACCTGTATCTCCTCCTTAGTTTCCCCTCAAAGTTCTGTGGGCACCTGCCACCCCCCCAAGAGCGATTCATCATCGTCTGGGGGCCCATATCGATCCTGTTAAGAATCACTGATCCAGTTCATATATTGCGTTGTGTAGTAAAAGTCCAGTGCGTTTATGTGGTTGTCATCTCAAAGATCGAACAGTGGGTCAGAGAAGAAGGTGTCCTGCCCCACCCCGGCGCTGCTCAACTGCTCCCAGTTGGTCTATGTAATTTGTTATATGAAAGTCTTACATAAGCAAATATATTACAAGAAGCTGACTGTGGGGAACATAGCTTTGATCGGTCCAAGCCGGTAAACATGTTTGGAGGAAAGGTGGCCCATCCGTTTCGTAATTTCCAGTTACTAGGGCGAATTCCTTTCAGGTGGTGCTGATTCCCTTGACTAATGATTATAAACCCAATTGTTGTTGTTATGTACTGTGAAGTCACCTGCAACCCTACAAACGAGCGACTTTCAGAATTTCTCATGTAAACCTTAGCTCCTCAAATATTCTTGGCCCACAACTCCTAGAATTCATGAAAATCAGGCATGCTGCCTGAAGGTGTATCTTGACTATAGGGTTATAGCCATTTTGATCCTACTTTTAATTGCCATGGCTTCTTCCTCCGGAATCCTGGAATTTGTAGTTTATGATATACTTAGAATTCACTGCCAAGGAGTGTTAAATGTCCACCTGTTAGCTACAGCAGAGAATTCTCAGTGTCTCACCAAACTACAAAACTCAGAATCTTGTAATAATAATGGAGCCTTGGCACTTAAAGTGGAATTTTATCTGTTATAACTGTAGTGCAGATGTACTCCAAACCTTGTTAAAGGCTATATGTTTCAAACTAGAAAATCAGTTGCAGCAAAACCAAAGCTTATGAGTTCAAATGTTTCATAAGAGAGCTCAAAACTAAGAATAAAACAGTGGAAATCATTTTCTTTATTGATGAGTACAAATTGGGGTGGGCACTCCTGGTAAACTTTGTCATCCAGCTGTAATGTATTCCTTTCCTTTCCTCACCCTAAAGTCATCATTCAGAGAGATCACACTACCATGGAGGAGGCTATTGCCGGTCTGCGCCGTGGTGACTTTGAGGTCTCGGATATTTTTTATTTCTGCAAGAAAGGCTTTGAAGCAATTGTGGAAGACGAGGTCACCCAAAGGTTCAGCTCAGAGGAGTTGGTCTCTTGGAACCTTCTCACCAGGACCAACGTCAACTTCCAGTATATCAGTTTACGGCTGACGGTGGTGTGGGTTATTGGCGTCTTTGTGCGGTATTGCCTCTTGCTGCCTCTTCGGTAGGTCTAGCAACGTGTGTGTGTGTGTGTGTGTGTGTGTGAGAGAGAGAGAGAGAGAGAGAGAGAGAGAGAGAGAGAGAGAGAGAGAGAGAGAGAGAGAGAGAGAGAGAGAGAGAGAGAGAGAGAGAGAGAGAGATCTGCTGAGATGTCCTATGAGTTGTTGGAATTAGAAGGAAATTAGAAATGCTTGGGACCACATGTTACTGAGTTTTATCATGTGTTGAAGTCCACCATGTGTTGCCCTCCACGTATTATTGGATTGCAGCTCACATTATATCAAACCAGTGAATATAAAACCACTGAAGACAGCTGGGAGTTGCAGTCCATTAAGTTCTAGATGGCTTCGTTTTGCCCAACCCTAGTCAAGGACTTGGCCAGAAAGCATATCGTGCAACATATTTGTTGTGCTTAAATTGGTCTGGTCGGCGCCTGTATTGGAGGCTCCATCCCCCCATCCCAATGCTATGTATATCACTTTGAGTGTCACTGTGACAAAGAAATATTCCAGTGCTTGACATCTTCAGGAGAAGCTTTCTAGAGGTCCTCACAGGCACATCTGATGAGGATGTGGGAAACGGCCTTACTGCTAGTTTCAGCCAGGTTGTGGAAGGCCCTCCGTTAGGAGACTAGGTTAGCCCCCTCCTGCCTGCCCTTTGGCAGATAAGGGAAGACCTTCCTTTTCAGATGGGCTTTTAACCACTTAACTACTGAATGAGGCAACAAAGAGGTTTTGATTGTGGGATGCTGCACATTATTATTGTTTTGTATATGTGTCTTTAAACACATTTTAACTATTTTTTTTGCATATTTTTATATGTTTAACTGTTTTTAACGGAATCACCTCTTGCGCTTAAAGTTGGCTTGCATTTTTAAAACAAATTGTAAGCCACTTTGAGTCCCTCACTGTGAGAAAGGCGGCATAAACAGGCAATGAACATGTAAATAATATATCAGAAGGCCAGGCGTGCAGCCTTTAAGAGGGCTTTTTCTTCTTGCTGTATGGCACCTTCTCTCATGAACTCTGTAAAGATGCTTCAGTCAGTTTTTGTTGCTTCAAAATGGATAATGTATTTGTTATTCTTCTCTCCCCCCCCCCCCCCCCAGTGTGACCTTGGCAACGATTGGGACAGTTAGTATGATCACGGGCACCACTCTGGTAGGACAGCTGCCAAATGGATCGTAAGTGAATCTCCTTTGCATTAGCAAAAAAAGAAAAAAAGAAAAAGAAAAAAGAACAGCTTGAAGAACAGGAGAGATTGCAAAACAGGATAAGACATGTCTGATTCCTCCTTAGGCAATTATACCAGTGATGGTATGATTACAGTGTAGTAAACTATATTGCCTGGAATCATTAGAATAAGTAATGATTCGCCTCATCAAAAGTTCATATGCATAGAAAGCTAAGTATTGAGGACGTGCATTCCAGTCTTGTTGCTCACATGCGTTTTGTATTCTGGACTTAAGAGTTCCTCCCTTCTCTGTTCCCTACAAAGGAAACACTTAGTTGTGCAATCCTGTCCTGCACTCGCTTGAAATGGTAACACAAAAGTGTGCTGCTTATATACTGCCTAAAGCACACTCTGGGTGGTTTACAATGTAATTATGCACACTACGCATTACCTACCACCACCAGGTGGGTATTCCGTTTACTGACCTCAGAAGGTCGAACTGGCTACCTCACCAACCAGGTTGTGAGGAGAGTTTTGGCTGAGGTGCTGCAGTTTAACCACGGTGCCATGAGGTAACGCTGAAAGAGAGTTTTACCACATAATGAACTATTTACATCAGCTTTGTTCTGTCTAGAGTAGGAAAGGAAACTGAGGAGGCAGCCCATCAAGGCCCTTCTGACAGCCTGAAGAGTCTTGTAAGCAGCACCCCCCCCCCCGGCCCGGCCCTTGTTCAAGTCCTTCCAGAGAAAGGGAGAATCAATACCTCTGGAAACCTCCAGGAAGGTATATGACTCGGGTGGCACAAGTTATGTCCTTCCACTTTTTTTTAAGCTGCCAAAACATTTCTGTAAATTTGTGGCCATTTCTTGTTTTCAAATGGGGGGCAGGTTGGAATCTGAGGATTCAGCCTTGCATGGATGTAGGTACGAAAGCTTTTTCCTACCCTCATCAGTATGGGGAGAGAGAACTCAATTTAGACCGAAAAGAGTCCTTAAACCTGTCTCTCTGTGTGTATGGGCAACATCTATGTACCTCCAACGTCTTTAGCAAAGGCATGAAGTAGACAGTGAAATTATGCCCATAGCAGCACCTGTATCTTCTCCAGGCAATGAGAGAAATGTAGACTCTTGCTTATAAGCAAAACCAAAAAAACCTTAAACATCTGTTGCAGCAAAAACAAGACTTCAAAACAAGCACAGCAACGCATCTTGGGAGGAGTTCCTAAATTCAGTTGGAAAATTTTTTTTACATAAAGTTTTAATGTCATTATCCACATTTTAAAAAAGGGCCTTTCACTTTGTTGATTCACATAAAGTGAAATTTCCTTTCCCTTTATGTGTCTTGGTCTACACCCGTGCTAGTTTGAGGCAATGAATGTATCTGATGACGAAGTGGACTTCAGCATAGGAAAGCATATGCCACGATAAATGTGTAGGTAGGTGCTAGACATAAAGTGAAATTTCCTTTCCCTTTATGTGTCTTGGTCTACACCCGTGCTAGTTTGAGGCAATGAATGTATCTGATGACGAAGTGGACTTCAGCATAGGAAAGCATATGCCACGATAAATGTGTAGGTTTTTAAGGTGCTAGAAAAAAGTGTTTTTTAAAAGTTCAACCCATGCCTGCTAACCCTAATGTTTGAATATGCTTTTCTCTAATTTCTAGTGCCACTAGCATCCCAGGTCAATGTTGGTTTAATTAAGTAATTAATTTTTTGGCTCAAAAAGCCGCTCTGTGTTCACCAGGAGTGATGGGAAAACATTTTGCTAAGTTTGTCCCCCTCCTCCAGGCTCTATTGAGTCCCATGTCCCCCAAAGTATTTATTATACATTTTCAAACATCATTTGGGCGCTAGTGAATGTGTGGGGCTTTTAAAGTTTAAAATCTTTGAGAATTGTCTGTCCCTGTGCTATATCTAGGGTGCTACTGAAATGGTGGGCTGGTTTCTCCCCCTGTTTTTGTTTGTTTGTTTGTTTATGTATGTGCTACATGCTGACTCCTTCCTGGCCATTAATGTAAACCTGCTTGCAGTGTTGTTTTATCCTATCTATTTAAAATATTTTTACCTTGCCTTTCTCCTTAAAAGGACCTAAGGAAGCATGTCATGAAAAGGACCATGTTTGAAAGCTAAAAGCAATAAGTATACAAGCATGTAAAAGAATTAAACAAGCATTATGGTAAAAATGGTAAATAAAATCAGGACTAAAAACACATTAAAAGCAATAGAGCGCACTATAATTGCTGGTGCTGTGATTCTTTAAGTAGGACAAGGCTGTGCCGTTCTTGCTCTTATCCAAACTTCATCATCCTCCCTATTTAATAGAACCAAAGACTGGCTGAGCGATCTTGTCCATCTCACATGTTCCCGGATCCTTGTGAGAGCCCTTTCTGGAACCATCTATTACCACAACAAGTGAGTAAAAGTATATCTCCTTCACAGTGTTGCAAATGAGAGTGTCGTGCAGGCAAAGTCTTAAGCCTGATCTGTTTCCTGTAAAATTTGGAAAAGTTACATCTTTGAACTGCTGTTCCCAAGGCTAGGAATTTCATAGAGGTTAAAGGCAGGGCATCAGTGATCCCCACTATGCTTATCTTCATAACAGCAAAGATGAACAATGCAGCGTAATGGGATGCATACATACTGCAGTATCTAGCTTTTCTTTAGGCAGAACTTGGGTCACTTTAATGCAGACAGCTTGCCTGTTTCTTATTGTTGAATACACAGAGCTGAAAAAAATGCATAGCTTTAGATTTGATTCCTACCTACTTGAGCAGCGTCATGTTCTTGGATTTTACAGCCATGCCTAAATAAGTATTTGCATTATTTTTGACTCCCATTTATATATTACTTTGCAGTATTGTATGTGTGTAATGGAAGAACAGGTGTGCCCCCACCTAGCCGTCATGCAGGTGACTCATATGAAGCAAATGCTGTGATGCCTGAGCATGATCTTACTCAACTTGCTTGTTGAGATTTCACATAGAGTTTAAACCATTGGTCCATTAGCCAGTGTTGTCAACTCTGAGTAATAGTAGCCCACCAGGGTTTCAGATAGGATTCTTTCCTATCCTGTCTGGGGATCCCCAGTATTCCCTGGTAATCTCCTATCCAAGTACTAGCCAGACTGTCCTTGCATAGCTTCTAAGATGTTCAACGTAGTATCTTCAAGGAGTGCCTTCATGTGTATGATCTTGCTTCCAATAAGATTGGTTAGGTTGGTGACAGTAAGATAACAGTGCCTTCTTAGTGTTGGCCGCACAGTTCTGGAGATACTCATGCCGGCATTATTCCGCGGGGGTGCTCAAGAAAGCCCTGATGATAACACTTTATAGCTGCTTTAACTAAGGCTGTGTAAGTTTCTTAACCAGAAAAGCTTTCATGAGTGGTATGCATTTTTACATCATGCTTACATATATTTTGTATGTATTGCTTTTGTTGGTGTTCATCACTTAGTGTGTAGTTCTGAAAGGTACAGTGGTGCCCCGCATAGCAACATTAATCCGTTCCAGGATTAATGTCGCTATCCGGAAACATCGCTATACGGAATGTAAAACCCCGTAGGAATGCATTAAACTCCGTTTAATGCGTTCCTGTGGGGTGAAAACTCACCGGTAAGCGAAGATTCCCCATCCGGCCGCCATTTTTGCCACCTCGGCAAGCGAGGGCAGGGCGCGAAAACGCTGCGGGCGGCTATTTTATTCTTCCGGTGGCCATTTTGGAACCGCCGATCAGCTGTTTTTAGAACATCGCAATGCGAAGATCAGTAAGCAAAACGCTTACCGATCATCACAATGCGATTTTTGCCCATTGGTATCATCGCAATGCGATCGCATTAGCGATCACAAAAAACACGTCGCTATGCAGATTCATCTTTAAACGGTGCGCTCGTTAAGTGAGGCACCACTGTATCTTGTAAAAACTTACACATGTGCAGAGAATGTTCCTTCAGTAATCTTTGTTGTTCTCTGAGTGTTCTCTTGATAGCATCTATCTTGAAGAGTGCATTTCTGGTAGAGGCTGAGTCATGTTTTTACTCATTTTTCATTGGCAAGTGTTCTTCATAGGATGACAATTAAACCTGAGGCCAACTCAGATTTAACGAGGATCTCTGTTATCAGTTTTGCTCTTGGAGCATATGCATATGCCAGTATTCTGTGTTTTATCAGTGTGTTTGCTTTACCGTTATTAAACTGTGGAACAGCTTTAGAACTAGTTTGAACAACTTCCAGCCTTACAACTGTTGCTCAACTACAACTCCCACTATACTTTTCCATCAGCTTTAGTAGGGCTGATGGGAGTTGTAGTTCAAGACGGTTGTTTTCAAAATATATATGCTAATTCAAGTGCATCTTGTACCACATAACTGCAGCTTAGAAACACCAGCCAATCATATTATGGAAAAACTATGGATATAATAGCAATCATATAAGAATTTTTCTGTTCTGGCTTTCTGTCCATCATGCAATCTGACATATGATTTTTTTTAATTCAGTGAGTGGTTGCAGGGGAGCACGATGACTGGGTAAAGAGGCAGAGTTGCTTATGAGATTGGCCTTCATGGTTAAGTGAGGCAATAGGATGCTGACCATTAAAAACAGCTAATACCTTTTTCTTAAATGTTTATAGGTAGGTGGATGGGCGATGGAATACTCAATAGAGATGTGTCATTCAGATTTTTTTGGATTTCCACTCTCAGAATTTTTTCATAGAAAGCTAGGTTGGCGCTAGGCCATGAAGCCTTCGAGCGAGGTCTTTTCCTCAGTGAGTGAAATTTAGATGTCAGTCTGTCAGATGGAACTCCCAGAATGGAGTCCCAAATATCCAAATGCCATATTCCTAATACTCAGCCTATCTCTAATTGCTAGTAAAGGCCAGTGGCACCAATTGCCAAATGTGATTCAGCGAGTCTGGTCTAGTTGGGATTAGCAACTGGATTCACACTCTAATCTGTTGTTTCTCGGAGCCACATTAGTAAGTCTAGTGACATATCACGACGTTACTATGAATAACTCTTATCTTTGTATATCTGCAGGGAGAACAAACCGCAGAAAGGAGGAATTTGTGTTGCCAACCATACGTCGCCAATAGATGTCATAATACTGACAAATGATGGCTGTTACGCAATGGTATGTCAGCGTAACATGAATTTTGTAACTTTGAGGATTGCAAAAAGTCTTTAAACGGCACCCAAACCGTCACTAAACTTGACGAGTTCCTATGCTGCGTTTTCGTGATGGCTACATATCCTGGCAATGGTATAAAAATGTATCAGCATGTGTTTTTATTTACACAACCTGAAATGACAGTGTAAATAAATTGCTGGTTGGTAGCTTCATCAGCACGGTGGCACTCTTCCATTGTACAAGAGAATGGATTCCTGCTCTTTCACTCCAAAATTTGATGGGGAGAGTAGAGAAAGAGGAGGCAGAGGTAAAATGTGTGGGGTTTATTGAATCCTGACAGCTTTGTATATAGGTTTTAAGAACTGGTATTCCCACGGGTTTTTTTTTGCTTATGTAGCTTAGGATGGCCTCTGCAACCTCACGAAAAAGAAGCAGCGGAGGACAAGAAACACCAGCAGGGAGAATATTTTTCACAAAAAAGGGGCATAATTTGCATTCGATTTACTGATGCTAATTTAAGCCAATACAGTGGTGCCTCACACAACGATGTTAATTGGTTCCAAAAAAAATCAACGTTGTGTGAAACATCGTTCTGTGAAACACCATTTCCCATAGGAATGCATTGAAAAACCGGTTAATCCGTTCCAATTGGAACAGATTGCCATCGCTGAGTGAAAATCCCCATAGGAAACATCGCTGTGTGAAACAATGTTTCCTTCACTGGAATATATTGAAGCCGACTCAGTACATTTCAATGGCTTTGCGAAGTCCTTTTTCGCTCCTGTAAAAGTGTCTTACAATGTTTGGAAGCTGTTTTAAATGCTTGCACTGGTTAGCCCACCTCCTGAAACCTATGCAAACTGATTTTGGTGTTGTTCTGACACTTCGTTAATTTATGATTATTTTTTGTTTTCTCCATTGGAAACCATTAGACAGACCATCCAATGGTTTCCAATGGAGAAAATTCAAAAAATCATCATAAATTAACGAAGTGTCAGAACAACACCAAAATCAGTTTGCTTAGGTTTCAGGAGGTGGGCTAACCATTGCAAGCATTTAAAACGGCTTCCAAACATTGTAAGACACTTTTACAGGAGCGAAAAGGGAGATCGTTGTGTGAAAATCCCCCATAGGAAACATCGCTGTGTGAGGCGGCAAATTTAACAGAAAAAGGCATCGTGTGAATTCATCATTGTGTGAGGCACCCGTTGTGCGAGGCACCACTGTATATACAACTTTCATCACAATTAGACATAATTCTTAGAATTACACTACTTCTCACACATTACACCATACAAACTAGGTAACCACTTTGGAACACAGCATTGAGAGAATGATGGGATAGAAATCAATCAATCAATCAATCAATCAAATAAATAAATAAATAAGGCCCAGTGTTTACTAATTCCCTGAAATGCCCTGTGCCTTGTATTTACTGAATACTTTATACTTTACTAAAATGAATATATTTTCAGGATGGGGTGTTTGCTTTCCTGAAACCTCAAAAAGTTGTCCTCATTCATCAGAGCAAGCTTGCTATTTCTGACTGCGGATTTGGGGGTGTCCTGTTAAGGGTAGCAAATAGATATTTAGTTTGTTAACCCTGCATTTTTTACTGCCTGGGATTGGGAGAACCTGCTGGGACCTTTTCTGCCTTAATATTGGAATAACGTGGCTGCTGTCTTGACTTGGGTGGGTCTGGTGTGCTAAATGACTCTTCTGCTTCCGGCAGCATCCTTGCTTAGTGGGCCTCTACTCTAGATTTTGAAGGATGTTTAAAAGGTCGGGAGCCCTGGATTTCTCCCGTGAAATGCAGTTTGGCCCCTTGAAAATAGAGTTGTTTATGGCAAGGAAGACTGGCAATTCTACCATTTTGAGGGGACGTGTGTTGATTTAATGATGATGGGGTTTTTTTTGGTGTGTGTTTATTACAGGTTGGTCAGTCTCATGGCGGTCTCATGGGAGTCATTCAAAGAGCCACGGTCAAGGCCTGCCCGCATGTATGGTTTGAACGCTCGGAAATGAAAGATCGCCATCTAGTGACGAGAAGGTAGACAGTTCTGTTTTTAAGAAAAAGGCTAGACGCTTGTTCATAATAACTACTAGAGTAATTAGTGTTTACCATATTCAAATGCAAAGTGTGTGTATACTCGTTGTTTGCTGCGTGGAAGTGCTATGTGCTTCTTGATAAAGGTAAAGGTTCCCCTTGACATTTAGTCCAATCGTGTCCGACTCTAGGGGTCGGTGCTCATCCCCGTTTCCAAGTCGTAGAGCCAGCGTTTGTCCGTAGACAGTTTCCGTGGCCAGTGCGACTAGACACAGAACGCCATGACTTTCCCACTGAGATGGTCCCTATTTATCTACTCACATTTGCATGCTTTCGAACTGCTAGGTTGGCAGGAGCTGGGACAAGCGACGGGAGTTCACTCCGTCATTTGGATTCGATCTTATGACTGCTGGTCTTCTGACTTTGCAGCACAGAGGCTTCAAAGCGCCACCATGTCCCTTTTTGCTTCTTGATAGATCTCCCAAATGTCCAGGACCAGCTGTAGCATCCTTCCATCACCTGGAGCCCTTCTGCAGGATTGGATTATAGTGCCTAGAATCTGCCATCCAGCAAAGTGAGCTCATGGGTCTTGTAGTTCAGTATATTTGAAGAGTAGAGGTAGGAGAAGACTACCCTAAAGCCTCTTCCAACTAACTCTTGACACAGTGGTCACTACAACACATATTTACTGTCCATAATCTCAGAATATAAATACTAGATGTTTAGCTGACACAGTTTCTGTCTATCTCTAATTTGGTGTGCCTTTTGAAAGGAAGGAAATCTGGATTCGAGTTGGGCTGATTATATTATGAAAAAATTATATAGCTTTTCCCATCACATATTGTTCACTTAAATAGTTTTGAAGCTGGCCCTTAGAAACTGTTTTGTGGCTGCCTTTTTTTTAAAAAAACAAACACTTTTTTCCTCTTTTAAAAATGCTTAAAATACGTTTTTATTAAGTTTAATTTGCACGTCTGTTGCTGGGGAACA